GCTCACATGCTTGTATTCTTTGCTAAAGTTCGTGAGCATCACTGTTGCTTTCCCCCCTCTCAGCGCGGCTATCCCTCTTGTGACACAAATGTCGCAGTTGATTAACAGCATTTGAAAGAAATTTATGTAGCGTGAGGCGAAAAAAACGGACACGGGAAGGAATAGACTGAGAGGACAGAGCGCTCTGTCCTCTCAGTTTATTCCTTCGTGCGTCCGTTTTTTTTTCGCCTCGCGCTACATAAATTTCTTTCAAATGCATCACCAACAACGCCTTGCATGCATGCTGATTTCTAAGAGCCAACGGAAATGCTGGGGCGAGGGCGAATGACTATTTGTTCAAGGCCTGCTTTCCGGGTGGCGTGTGTGCGGTAAAGCTTGTTCTGTTGGTAGCATCATTGACTTGGATCTGAGATCGATGATTGCACCAGGAGCGCTTAGGAAGTCCATATCAAGGATCACATCTCTTAAGCACCGCTGTAGTACAACGAAGCTTGCAGGATAAATGCCATTGTTAATGCAGACTCTCGCTGTGCAGATTTCCTCCGGGGTTACTAGGTGGCCTTCAGCTGCCCGTATTTCAGGGACTTCCCAGGCGTGCCTGACTTTCTTCAACTTCGTGGCGAACGCTCCACTGATGACAGAAAAGTCGGCTCCGGTGTCCACGAGAGCTGTCACACTGTTGCCGTCGATAAGGACTTCGAGGTCGCTAGTTCGTCGCCTCGCATTGCAGTTAGGTCGTGGCGTCGGGTCACGGCTGCATCCGCTTGTTCCGCTTCTTCCATGTTGTGTCATCAGGCCATCTTCAGTAAGTGAGGTTCCATCAACAGGTCTGTGCCTGGTCTGCGTCCTGTTCGAAATGTTTCGTTGTGGCGTCGTCCTCCTCGTAGGCTCTTCGGTAGTCCATCGCACAGCAACCACACCTCCATTGGTTGCTGCCCTTAGTTTCCCGGAAATGGACCGACCCCGGGTCGGGCCAGAGTGCTGCCGGTAGCTCCTCCCGTAGTTTCGTAGCTCCTCCCACACGATCTGTAGAATCATCTCGCGCAGATCGTCCATACTGAGTGCATCGGCTTATGTGTAGTTGGCTGTTGAAGAGCAACGGTCATACTGCCTCGTGGGCATCTTCAAAGTGCCTTCTCGATTGTGGCAGTCTTGATGAGGAATTCAGTCAACAGTCTTGGGCAGGTTGCGAACAAGCCCCGCAAACAACTCTTGCTTCACACCCGGCATAAGGAAGCAGAACTTCTTGTCCTCAGCCACAGCAGGATCCGCGTGCCAAAACAGTTTCATCATCTCTTCCGTGAAGATGGTGACATTCTAGTTTGGTACCTGTACTCGAGTCTCTAGCAAAGCAGTGGCCCTTTTTTTTTGCGAGCGATGCTCGTGAAAGTTTCGAAAAACGCACCGCAAAAGAAAAGATCCCTGGAGCGAAGTGCTGACTCCCGGTTCTCGAACCAGGTCCTTGCCGTGTGTTGTAGGTAAAAGTAGACGCGATGCAGCTTTTCATCCGAGTCCCACTGGTTCAAGGGTGCCACTTGGTTATACGCCTCGAACCAGGTCTCCGGTTCTTCAAATGATGATCTGTGGGAGATGGGTGGCTCCTTTGGCTGCTGCATCATGATCATGGCGAGCGTTGGTACAGGGGCTGTCATAGTTGTCGCAGTAGTGGTAGTGGCCTTCGGCTTGCGACTGTGGTCGGGTAGAGCCCCATACTCCAGAGGCAGCATTTTTTGCCGACTGCTTGCTCGCAGGTCGAGGTTGGCGGGGATGTTTGATTCACGGTTGGAGCTTGGTTCTCGACTGGAAAAGGGTGTTCAGTACATGGACAGGAAGCACCTCCACCAGATGTTAGGGGTCGTGACGTGGACAGAGGAAGCCGATTGCAGGTCAACGAATGAACTTTTTTATTCATGTTACCCTACAGGCCCCAGAAGAGCATTGAGTAGGGGGGGTTACAGAAAAATCACAATAACATAAAGCATAAAAAGAAATTATATCGAAGAAAACAAAGAAAATTGCACAATGGAAGGGAGAAGAACACTATAAGCAAATGCAGCAAAAAAACAAAATGAAAAAAAATGAAGCATCGTTATACAAAATCAAGAGAACATATAAATTTGCAGTAGCTCACGAAATTTGACCGGATCTCTCACAGAAACAATTTCATCCGGAAGGCTATTCCAAACTGCGATGGCGCGTGGCAATGCAGAATTATTGAATGACTGAGTGTTGCCGAAGATGCGTCTGAAACTGAGATGATTATGAAGTCGACTAGATGTACGTGAAGGAATGTCTAGCGATAGACGACTGGTCCACGAGTTGTAGTAGTACTTATGGAGGAGGCATAGACGGGAGACACAGCGGCGGGAATCCAAGTTAGTAAGGGCAATATCGCGTTTGATTTGGGTGATGCTGGAGTGGCGGTTATACATTGAAGTGATGAAGCGGGCTGCACGATTTTGGATGGATTCCACTTTATCTATTAGGTATTGTTGATGCGGAGACCAGATCGATGAAGCGTATTCCAGCTGAGGACGTACAAACGTTTGGTAGGCCTGCTGCCGAATGGTAGATGGGGAATGATGCAGATTCCGGCGCAAGAATCCCAGAGTTTTGTTTGCTTTCGCGCATATCTTGTCGATGTGAGTACACCAGGCAAGATTAGTACAAAGATGGACACCAAGGTATTTGTATGTAGATGAACGGGGAATTACAGCTGAACAGATAGAGTAAGAAAAGTTAAAAACCGATTTCTTACGGGTGAAGGAAAGTACGCAGCACTTAGATGTGTTAAGCGTCATTTGCCAACGGTCACACCACTGATTTATTAAGTCGAGGTCCTTTTGTAAATGTACGTGGTCTTCTTCAGAGTTAATAGTTCTGTACACTACGCAGTCATCCGCGAAAAGACGAATTGAGGAAGAAATGTTACAAGGCAAATCATTAATATAAATCAGAAAAAGAAGAGGGCCTAATACACTGCCCTGAGGCACACCTGATGAAACATATGAAATAGACGAGCTGAAGTTATTGACAAATGTAAACTGCTGTCGATTTGACAAAAAATTTCTAAGCCAAGATAATGTTGATGAGTCGAGTTTAAGTGCAGACAGCTTAGCTATTAGGCGACAATGGGCAACTCTGTCAAATGCTTTCGCATAGTCTAAAAAGATGCAGTCAACAGTTTTATTACTATTCATGCCGTTATGTAAATCAGACGTAAATTCTAATAGCTGAGTATCACAAGATAACGCTTTCCGAAAACCATGCTGATTTAGAAAGAAGAAGTTATTTGACTCAAGATGGCTGTATATATGAGAGGTGATGATGTGTTCAAGCAGCTTGCAACAGATGCATGTTAGCGAAATGGGGCGGTAGTTACCGGGTGTGTGTTTGTTACCATCCTTGAATATCGGAATAACCTTTGCTATCTTCCAGTCAGTGGGAAGTTGACCAGAAGATAAGGACTGTTGAAAAATGTGGCATAAAATTTGACTGGAGGAAGCGGATGTGTTTTTAAGTACCTTGGAATTAATATTGTCATCACCACACGATGTAGACAGCTTTAGACCGTGTATAAGTTTGGATATGCCTTCAACAGTAACAATGATAGGAGACATGAAGCAGTACTCACGATCGGGGACACAGGGAACTGAAGAAAAGTCTTCATTAGTAAAAACCGAGCAAAAAAACGAATTGAAGGTTGAAGCACACTCATATGCAGAGACAGGAACATTATCGGCGTTATGTAATGTAACAATGTCACTGCCACGGTCAGGCGAAATGGCACGCCAAAACTTTTTAGGGTTAGTCAGTAAAAGTGAAGACAGGTCGGCGGAAAAATATTTCTTTTTCGCTTCGCTAATCGCAAGACAATAAGATTTTAAACAGTTTTTATACATAGACCATGACTTAGAAGATGATAACCTTTTAGCTGAAGCATATAACCTTTTCTTTTTATTTCTGAGCGATCTAAGCGAGATATTAAACCAAGGGTTGGATTTGTCGTTAGAGATTGTTATTAGTGGAACATATTTACCTATGAGGAGCGCTATAATGTTTCTAAAGGAATTCCAGTTATCCTGAACAGACCTGTTGGTGAATGAGGGAAGAAATGTATTGTGTAGGAAGACATCAAGTTCAGAGTTCATTAGATCGTAATTTGCCTTGCTATAATCCCTGATTACCTTGCGCTGAACACCCGGAAATTTTAGTGGAATATTAATTGAAAACTGTAGAAGGTTGTGATCGCTAAAACCCTCTAATTGCGCAATTCTACCTATGATATGTGGCTCTGTTGTCAGAATAAGATTTAAAATATTAGTATCGCGAGTGGGCTCTGAGACAAGCTGAGTGAAATTAAAGTCAAGGCATAGCTCGATGAATTCACTTGACGTACTGTTTGAAGAAGACGTGCGAGACCAATCAATATCAGGAAAATTAAAATCACCGAATAAGTAAATTTTTCTGGTGGGAAACAGGTCAAGAGCCCTGGAAATACTTCTGTGAAGCTCAGACACGAAAAGGCAGTCAGAGGACGGAGGGCGATAGCATACGCCCATCAATAATTTTCCAGCTAAGGTAGGACAGGCGACCCAGACTATATCGAGGGGAGTGTCAGTATCGACAAAGAAGGAAGATATAGTTCGTTTGATGGCTAACAGCACGCCACCACCCCTTCTATGTGCCCGGTCATGGCGATAAATGGAGTACTGATTTGAAGCATGAAATAGCTCAGTGTCGCATACGTCAGCGTGAAGCCAAGTCTCGGTTAGCAATAGAATATCTGATTTACTGTCCTCGAGATATGAATCAAGCAAGACACGTTTTGGTAACAAACTGCGAATATTAGTAAATGATACTGAAAGTGAAGGAGAACATGAAGTAGACGGCTGCTGAGCATTACCACTGCGTACATCGGCAACTAGCTATCTAGCGGTGACTACGGTATCAGAACAAGTGTCATAGATATATGTAGTATTATTGATACGAAGTTTGTCGACATTTAGTTTGAAAGGACAATTCCGTTCCCTAGCAAACTGAAGCAGTTTCCTGCGCGCTTGCCGTGTTGCTTGCGAAAAATCTTCTCTAATAGAGAAGCCAGTATTTTTCAGCCGATGTGCACCGGCGAGGATTGCTTGTTTGTCCTTAAAAAACGTAAGCTTAGCAATTATCGGCCTACATTTGTTTGAAGCAAATTTACCCAGCCGGTGCACACGTTCATATTGAGAACTGGTAGTGGTGATCGCTAACTTATCTGAGCATACGGCGATAATTTTCTTTTCAGAAGTTTCCCAGCTCTCTTTGTGCTCATCGGGAATTCCAAAAAACAACAAGTTGCACCGTCGCATTCTATTTTCTGCTTCCTCACACCTTGATACTACTGCTTGAAGCTGATCAGAAATAGAACCAATAGCACCATCAGCAAAGTTGGATGACGGAGGGGCATTAGAAACCAGCTTTGCTTCCAGAGTGACCACTCTCATGGTCAAGCTTTTGATTTCTTTATCAGTAGCATCCTGTTTTTCTTTTAGCCCCTTAATTTCACCAATTATTGTATTCTGACCCGCTTCCAGCCTACGCACTGTATCAAGAACAATTGCGAGTGTTTCCTCGACGCCAGGGCCGGGATTAGATTCAATGTCACCTGAAAGCAACAACAACAACGATGCAAACTTCCGGCGCAGACATGAAAGAAACAGCAATGTACGGAACATCTTATCACGCAAGTCAGGAGGGCACGACACCGCAACAAGGCAGTAATTGCTACTTTTTAAACAGGAAGTATCTTTGAAGTAACCAACCTGAAAATACAGCAGCGGTAAGCGTCCCATCCCTTCAACGGTGTCGTGCCCAACCGAACTGGAGCATGGCTGGCTTATATATCCTACGTCATGGCTTGCGAGGGCATCTGGGAATGAACCATGTTGCCAGCTGCCAGTAACCGAGGGAACCAAACGTGGCCAACTTTGCACTTTCGGAAACGAAACTGCCTGATCAAGGCAGCGCGGCCAATGTTCGAGAACCCTCGAAGGCAGGTCACCGAGGAACGTAACTGAGATGTTGTCTGGCAGGCCGCTGTATCCAGAGTCATATTCTGCGATGGCGTTCACGAGAGAACCGTGTCGCGGGCCGCTGGTAGCCGAAGGAACCAGCTCGGACCATCGCTGCACGCTTAGAAGCGGGAGCGGAACTTCATGGCCAAGACTGCACGGCCACCGTACGAGAAGCCACGTCGACCAAGCGCTGAGGAACGAAACCTGAAAATACAGCAGCGGTAAGCGTCCCATCCCTTCAACGGTGTCGTGCCCAACCGAACTGGAGCATGGCTGGCTTATATATCCTACGTCATGGCTTGCGAGGGCATCTGGGAATGAACCATGTTGCCAGCTGCCAGTAACCGAGGGAACCAAACGTGGCCAACTTTGCACTTTCGGAAACGAAACTGCCTGATCAAGGCAGCGCGGCCAATGTTCGAGAACCCTCGAAGGCAGGTCACCGAGGAACGTAACCGAGATGTTGTCTGGCAGGCCGCTGTATCCAGAGTCATATTCTGCGATGGCGTTCACGAGAGAACCGTGTCGCGGGCCGCTGGTAGCCGAAGGAACCAGCTCGGACCATCGCTGCACGCTTAGAAGCGGGATCGGAACTTCATGGCCAAGACTGCATGGCCACCGTACGAGAAGCCACGTCGACCAAGCGCTGAGGAACGAAACCTGAAAATACAGCAGCGGTAAGCGTCCCATCCCTTCAACGGTGTCGTGCCCCTGAAAATACAGCAGCGGTAAGCGTCCCATCCCTTCAACGGTGTCGTGCCCCTGAAAATACAGCAGCGGTAAGCGTCCCATCCCTTCAACGGTGTCGTGCCCCAACTGTTTATTCGGCTCAAACTTGTGGCCGCATAAAAGGGAAGTCGGATTACAACAAGAAGCTGGCACTGATAGTGGTGAGCAGGGCGTCGGCCGTCGATCAACTGACAAGCAGCGAAGCGTGTCTGAATTCATACACTTGCTATCGAACATTCTAGCTTATTTCCAGCGACAACGTATGTTCCAGAATGATCTGAAAGGTTCTCGAAGTGGGTGTAATCTTAATAAAACGATCCACTACAGCCTCGAAGCTTCTCTAACGCCGTAGGCGCAGTTATCGCTGAGCATAGTGTAACGGGGCAATAACAAAACTTGAAGAAAGGAACCTGGAAATATTGTGTCTAACCAAAAAAGTGAGGCCTTATGTTAAAACTTTTGTTCATCTAGTAAAAGGAATCTCTTGAACGTAAGCAAGTGATAGAAGCATAGAATCGTGCAAGCCGTCAAAACACGTGAAATGCGCTACGAGTGGGTGTTTTAAAAGGTCCACTCATTATAGAGCGCTCAAAGGTATGTATGTTCGTGTGTTGCCTTACGCACACATAGAGAGCCTTTCGTGGATTTGCAAAAGGAACTTATGGCGTAGTTGGCACTTAACAATTGTACTTTCAACAGACATTCTACGATAGTTTGGAGAGGCCAGTGTTGCATGCACAGTCATTTGTTCTCTTCCAACACGGATGAAGCAAGTTGCATGAGACAGAATCGCATGAGGCAAGTTGCATGAGGCAGAAACAAACAAGTTGCATGAGGCAGAATCGTCATTGCGGTCACCGCTGTTAAAGCACAGGCCAAAGGCAGTCGGCGTGCTTTGCTGTAGATAAATCTGCTCCTGCTTGGTCCTGTTTATACACGACAAAAATGTTTTCGCACATGGAACTACGCCGTGCAAAGAATGTAGCCAGAGAAGTGACGTGTGAAGACAGCGCACCATTCGGGATAATCGCTTGCCATCGCAGCCGCCGATCACAGCCGCCGATCACAACACGTGCGCCCTGGACCGCGCGAGCAAAATCGGACTTCAGCGCCACTAGTTCTCGCGACCGCCATCCAGCCCCCCTCTCCGGTAGAGCTTTGAAACTAAGTTTATTCTGGTAACGTTGCTTTATAGCGTGTTTGCCATTTTGATTTTGTTTGCCTGCTTGTATATTCTTTGCCTTTCCGATAAAGAGAAAGGTGATAGTCAGTGCTGTGTCTTGTATGTCCTTTGTCCCGTTGTGTGTGTTATTGCCGCAATGTCTATTTATATTTCAACTGGCACAGCGCATTGCGCTAAAGAAGAAATAGCCGAGCAGTCTGACAGTAGACAGGGCGTTGAAGCACAATGAACCAAACTTGCCCAATCTTCAGCACATGTCTATTTATATGTTGCAAACTTTTGGGAATGTTAAAAAGTGTGATCGAAGCTTCATGTACTCTAGTAAAATATTCATCTTGCCTCAACAAAACCGTGCTATGATTGAGACGGTGTTCCTCAAAGTAATGTGGGTGGTGGCAACTGTGTGCAGGGCATCCCTCCGTCGCAGCAAGACCCGGCAGAAGAGAGTCACGGTGCAACAGAGGAGTCCGAGGACGCCCCACGGGGTGTTCCCAGCAATACAGCCATGTCGTCGCCACAGTCGCAGCACGGCACCATGGGAGGAGGCGGGCCCCTCGAAGCGGCATTGGCAGCAGAGGGTGGAAACCCTGAAGACCCGTTGGCCTTCCTCCGCTTCCAGCCTCAGTTCCAGCAGATGCGGCAGGTGAGAACAAATAGCAGGTTTCAAAATCTGACCGAGTATTTTGTTTGCGGAGTGTTGTGAGAGATTTCTTCGATGAGGTAAGCCTGAAACAATGCATGTAAGTAGGGAAGGCTTTTTGCTCCACCAACATCGTGGCATGTAGAGGGAAGCTGACCGTCTTGTAGTTTGTTTATTGGGTGATTTCATTATGAAAATGACACTAAAGATATGTACAAATGTAGCCCCCCACAGACATGTTGTAGATGTTTATTTAGTCGATCCCTGATATCAAATTATTGTCTATATCAAACACTTGAGACATTTCCTTAAATTTTCCTGGCAAGGGTATAGTACTGGTGCATCTGTATATCGAACTCTTGCACAATGGGACATCCGCTATGTCGAACGCTGTAGCACGCCAAAGCCCAGAAAGTGCACTTTTTCTAGCAAATAATAATCAAACCTCATTATAACAAAGTTGCATCTGAGCGAATTAAGTTCGTTATAACGAAAAATTTGTTATAAAAGTGTATCTATATTGTTTGCAAAACATTTCTTAATTTACTTTGTTATAACCGATTTTCGTTACATTTGGTTTCGTTATATCGAGGTTAGAGTGTATTGGTCTCTTCTCGCGTGCAGGTGACGAAAAGGCAGTGTTGTTCTGTTGTGCTGATCTGGTTCGTTGTGCAGCACTTGCTCATGCGCCGCTATGTTTGATGCGCAATTTGCAGGTCCTAACGCGCGGGCATAGTGTTCTTCAAAAAGACCGATTGCTGAAGACACCAAAATGAGAATAATAAGTGACATGGCAATCTTATTGCAGTGTTCGCATTTCCTGGTTTGTTAGTGCACAATGGCATGCGATGGGCATGCGAGCCTGAAAAGCATGGTCATCGAGATTTGTAACCTCGTGACGTTTTTTTTTTTTTTTTTAGTGTTTTCTGTTTTAAAACTGAGGGTACACTTTTATAGCTTTTTTATAGCTTTTTCTCTGAGGGTACACTTTTTATAGCTTTTTCATCAAAGCATCTGAAAGCAGCGGCTGCCAGCTACAAAGCCACAAGTGACATCGATATCGCCAACATGTCAGCGGTGGGGACTCGGCGTTGTCTTTTGCGCTTTGTGGGCTTGTGTACTTCTTGCTTCGATCTGATAAATCCTCATTCAGGAGTCGAACTGAACGTTGACCCCCACGTAGCGATACAAATTATGGCTGGGGCTTGGAGCAATGTCAAGTAAAGCACCATCATAAACTTTCCTTGTGGGCCAGGTAATGACTTCGGGTGAGTCATTATCGCTGATGACCGCGTATGGTATCTCAGTAATTTCTGCGACTTATCAGCGTTTCCGGGCACCACCTCTGACAGTGAGCGACTTCATCGGGGCAGATGACGACGCAGCTGTTTCCGACTGCATCAATGCTGAGATCATGGCTGCAGAGTACAGTGTCATGGAAGTGTACCCACACGGTTATAAATATGCCACCGCCTTCGTTGCTGCCGCTAATAACCTTTTGTCGCGCTAAAAAGTTTGCATCAGTGTGCTGCGTCAACGATGTTGGTGGCTACAGGAGCTGAATTCGCCAATTTGAAAAGCTTCAATGATATTGTTAGAGTCCTGACATTCACAAAGCGAGCAGACTGCAGGTCAGATATTAAAACGTTCATTCGGCCGAACTTGTAGCCTGCCAACGAAAAGTCAAATTACAGCGATACACATACACTGGCACTGATAGCGGCGAACTGGGCATTTGCAGACGATCAACTTACAAGCGATAACGCTTGTCGTCGTTTATACAGGTGACTTTCCAGCGCTACCGCCAGCGGCGACGTAAGTTCCGAAAAAATCTGTAATGTTCTGATTGTGGGCGTAATCGCATCGAAAGGTTCTACGATAATATCGGTTGATCTTTAGTCATTGGGCGTGGTTGTGCAAGGCAGCACATTGTTACGCCTGGCAGTCCACACCGAACGTCATTGCCTCTGCAAAGGCAATCTGTGTCAAGGCCAGCGAGCGAGCCCACCTGACGCCATCATCTCGACCACGTCATGTAGCCCAGCGCAGTCCGTCTTACGTGGCGGTCTGTCTTATGCAATGCACGGTGAGCTCCTTCAACCTGCGGGCCCGATAGCAGTTCGATAATGCAAGCGGTGCCATCCAGTCTGGCGAGTCTTATGCAATGCGTGGCAACATTTTCGTCCTTGTGTGCAACCTAGCGCAGTGGCTCCGGATTTGAGGATCATGACGCCACCCAGCGGCAGGTTCCGATTGGACGTTGGTGACGTGACGGATCACCTGGGGCCTATAAAGAACCACGCAGCGCTTCACCAAGCAGCCGACGTATGCGTCGGAGAGAAAACATCTCGGCTCTTCGAGCCCTTGCGCTGTTGGCCCGGCGGTGACCTTGGCAGCGGCGAGCTTCGTGACTGCGGCGTCCTGCGGAACCGTAGCGTCGACGTTTCATAACAGTGAATGGCAGCTGCGGGATCGGCCTGCGGCAGCGACATCGATGTGGTGAGTGCCTGATGTTTTCCCCTCAGTTCACCAGACTGCTCTAGCGCAGGTTATAGTAGTTTAGAAAAGTCTGTGTAGAGCATTGGAGTGAGCTTTGATCGTTTCAAGCCAAGTTGGAGCGCTTTGAAATCAAAGTTAATGCGGAGGGTGTAAACACGGCAGTGTTAAAAATTGCTTGCGCGTCTTGCTAGTAGACTTATAGTTGGTGCGGCAAATAGATTCTCAACAGGGGCAAACAGCAAGATGCTAATGTGAACGATGGAGAATCTTAAGGGGGCGGACTGGTCTTAGACACATTTTTGTTCATTTATTAAGTGATCTTGATCAAACTGCGCGGGATTTTGCAGTTCTTTCTGCTGATTTCAAATATTTAATTAGTTTTCATGCAACTCATCTTGTTCCTAAAATAACTAAAGTTCACCCCCTATTGTTTATGGCCGCCATAGAAAAAAAGTATTTGATTGAAAGTGATACTTAAGATATGCCAACATAGATTAATGACTGTAAATTGAAAGTATACAAGAGTTTTTTGTTCTTAGGCCTTTCTTGGTTATTTTACAGCAAAATGAACTATCCATCTTTAAAAGCAGTTGAAATTGTGTTACGATTTTGGTGAGTAAATAATTGAAAAGGCTTTTGCTCTAAATTCTGCTCCCATACTTGCATTCTGCACACATACAGGTTTCCACTGCAAGAAGAATTATTGTTGTACCTTCCCTAGCTGCAGAGATTTTGAGGCCTCAAAATTGAAGTCATAAATCTACTTTTTTGAGAAAAAAAAATCTAAAAAACTGGAAACACACAGCTTCTTCAAAAAGCAACAATCATGGTGCACATGTTTTGCAATTCTCATAAAGGTGCTCATAAATTGGTAGTAGAGCTTCGCACACAGGTGCCGGCAAATCATAAAGAAGCCTCGAAGTCGGTTCCCCATTTTTTTGCTGGTTCTGCATGTTAACAGCACCAAGAATCTGTACAGTTAGAATGACATTACAAAAAATTATCACTTCCTGGTGTGTGAAAGTTTGCAGAGAGGGAGAAAAATACTTGCAGAAACCAAATATGTCAATTTTAAAAAATGAACCTTTTTTTTTTCACTTTTTGGTCCCAAAGACCAGTCTGTCCCCTTAAAGTGAAAGAACTCATCGAAATTTGTGAGGAACTTGGCTTTATTTTGGGTTGTGGGAAACGAAAGCAAGCGATCCTTGAGACCATGAAGGATGAAGAAGTGACGACTGAGGAAGTCGACGAGGCTTGGGCGGACATCAAAACACGCCGCGAGGAGGCTGAAAAAAGCGAGAAGTTCGCGAACGCGAAGAAGCTGAAAGGCAAGAACACCGTGAGGAGGCCGAGAGACAGGGGCGCCTTGAGTTGAAACGAATAGAATTGGCAATCCTACAGTGTTCGCAGGCACCTAGCATAGCTTCTGCGACACTTCATGTCAGCGGTCATAGAATTCGGGACCAACTGCCACCATTCGTAGTTGGCGAGGACGTGGTGAAGTATCTCGTCAAGTTCGAACACATCTGTGAGCGAAATGCCTTGGAACGGTCTCTTTGGGCGCAGAACCTGTTAGCTCTTCTTCCCGGCGAAGTGTCCGACGTGATAACGTGCTAATCGAGGGAAGTGTTTAAGGGCTATGACGAGGTTAAGGAAGTGCTCTTGAGACGTTATAAGTTGTCACCCGAGGCTTTCCGGCATAGGTTCCGGTACGCAAAAAGGGCGATGAGTCACACGTTGGCTTTGCGTTTCGTCCTAAAGCCTATTTAATTGAATAGCTCAGGGGCGAAGGTGTTCCTGACGATTGCAATAAAGTGGTAGAATGCATTGCATTGAAGCAATTCTATCGCTGCATCGAGGATGTCAAGCTTTGACTGCAGGACAAACTTAGTAAAGTACAGCTTAACAAAGCAGCAGAGGTAGCTGAGGAGTATTATACTCGCCGAAAGTTGCATAGCAGGGCAGTGTGCATTGAAAAGGATGAACGGAAAGAGAGCGGAAACCCACTTCGCACCGTAATTTCAGGAAGCACCCACCTCTTACGAAGGACACTGTAGGGGATGGGCAAACGGAAGCAGAGAAATCGAGTGAGGTTACTAAACAGCGCACTGATACCACACGGGCGTTTGAATCACGGAAGCCACTAATCTGCTACAACTGCAAAAAGAAAGGGCACATTGCGGTAAATTGTAAACAAAAGTTTGCTTTCGCAACAATTCGAGAATCGGAAAAGAACATGCTGTTGTTAGAGCTGTATCTCCAGGAAATTAGTGCAAATGGGAAAATGTGTCAAGCACTTTGAGACTCAGCGGCAACCATGAACGTTGTCCATCCTTCGTTGGTGTCTCCGGACGGTTTAACAGGAAAATGCTAGTGGATCAGGCAAGTCGACAAAGAGCAAGAGTGCTTGCTTACCAATTGCTACGGTTGTCATAGAAGGCCCGTTCGGTTAGTTTCGCACAAAAGCGGCTGTGTCTGCCGCGCTTCCCTGTCGTTCTCCTTAT